TTTGTTTTTATTTGCATTTTGATGTTGTGATGGTTTTGTCTCATACAGTGTTCCGAATGCTCAGTTATTAGTATTTGGTTTTTATTTTGTTTAGGCCTTTGAGTCCCCGGCCGTTTAGTTGATCATCCGGTTGTTCTTGTCATTTCGCTCTGCCGTTACGGCTTGACCTGTGTTCGAGCATTTTATTTGCTGCTTTTTTCTCCCCATTTTCTATTTTATTGACTCCCTCCACACCATTTTTTTTTTTTTTGTTTTACCATCACATTTACAATTTGACTGCACCGTCCCTACCGTTCTGGCCGTTCTAGCAGGCTAGCACCTGACACTGCCGCGTATGCCATATTAGCCATTCTCCCCATTCTCTCTCTGCACTTTTTTTCCTTTTCTCTTTTTTTCCCCTCACTCTTGCCATTCTTTGCGGCCACGGGACTTCCGTGCGACACCTCTTTTGGCGGCCCGCGCCCTCCCGCGAAAGCAGCGCCATGGACTTCCCAACCTGCAACACCATGCCGACTGCCGAGGCACGCGCCGCTCTGGCTCTGCTTCTCTGGGATTTTCGCGGTGCCGCCGAAGTGCTTCTCACTGAATTCGTTCCCCTTACGCAAATGAATGTGCAGATATTATTGAAAAAGAAAAAGAAAAAAAGTGCAGATATTATAATTGGAGAAATTCTAATATGCATACTCGCATGTATCATGTGTATCCTGCTTAGAACGCCATTAACGTTTATTTTTTTTACTTTCATCAAATTTAAATTTTATTAAACCAAAAAAAAAAAAGTTGTTTTAGTATTTCAATTAAAATATTAAATTGAGAATGTATTAAATTTTTCATCAAATTAAAAATGTCTCGAACATTTCATCAAGCCGTTAACTTTGCAAGTAGCCGTAGGAATTACAAGAACACCGGATGATCAACTAGTAACGCCTGACTTTCAAAGGCCTAACAAAATAAAACAAGATTGGACTAATAACCTTAGGGCTTATGCTGAATCACTTTTTCATTAGTTATCAAAAGTCCATTCACAACATGTGCATAAATCAAATGAAAACAAACACACACACTTCTTACATTATTATCTTTCTATTTGAAGTCCAAACAACAAAAAGAGAAGTACATCATCCACAACATAACTATACAAAGTCAAAATTGAAAAAGAAAATTATTGTCTGAACGTTACACAAAGTCAAAATTGAAAAAAAAAAATTATTGTCTGAACGTTACAACTTCCAAAAAGACAAAACTGTTGGAAATGGTTATAAAATTCTGGATAAAACCAGAATTTTTTTCCTAAGTTCGGTCTATTTTTTAGGTGGGCCCCGAGTGTCAATTTACTCGGGTCAAAGTGGTAACGCGTTCTATGTCGCGTTGTGATTCACGTGGTATATTTGGTTGCTCAAAACCATTACCGAGTGAATGGGAAATTGAAGCCAAAGTGTGCTCCATGGAAATGGAGTTTTGGTGGAAATTCCTTAAGGTTGTAAATTGGCTTGTCCCACATTGATTTGGTGGGAGGTTTTGAAAGGGTTTATAAGGCTTAGGGTGAGTACTTGGAGTGTGCCCCAAGGGGTACCCAAGTGTTTTAGAGGGAGAGGTTATAGGCAAAATGGGCTAGACCCATTGGACCCAAATTGAATTTGAAAAGTAAAAAAAAAAAATTATTTAAAATATTACAATAACTAAAACAAAAAACTGAAAAACAATTTAGGCCGGTCGGGCGGGCTGGGCTGGGCCTGGGCTTGGGCGCGGGTGCGTGGTGTGTGGTTGGGTTGGGCTTCTAATCTTTTTGGGCCAAAAACATTTGAATTTAATTTTATTTTTTATTAAAATAAAATCCATAATTCAAATTAAATTGGTTTGGATTATTTGTTCATCCAAACAGGGCCCTTCCCGTTTTCAAACAGAAATAAACTGTTTTGGAATTAAGGTACACCCAAACAGGGCCCTTCCCGTTTTACTATCTGTTTGAATTGATTCAAATCTGTTTGAATTCAAAACTCTGTTTGAATTCAAAACCCAACAGGTATGATACCTGTTCAATTCAAATCAAAGAGTCACCTTCACATCTATAAATAGGACCACCCTCATTTGGATTTTGTAACTCTAATTTTCGTCCTTCATAATTCTGCAAACTTCCTCTTCATTTTGCTGCATTATTTTCTTGTTCAGAGAGAGTATAAACACTTAGTGTGTTCGTAAGGCAAACAATTTGTAGTGCTGCTATTGTTTGTAGTAGATCATTTTATCCTGGGAGATAGACGTCCAAATTCTGAAAACACCGTGGAGAGGACGAATCTGTCTTAAGGACACAGTGTCAAACACTGGACTTGATCAGAAAATAATTTGAACAAATTACATCAAGTAAGTTATTTAATTTATTTTCAGTATTGTTTTTATTTATTAAAATCATATTTAAATTTTGTTTTTGTAACAAAATAAAATCTGTTTTTATTTATTTATTTTTATTTCGTGTTTGATTTTTGTAATCAAACAAATTCTCTATTTTTCTTTATTTCTTTATATTCTTGTTGTTGTTTTGAACACGACGGAATTTAATCTATTTAAATACAGTGAAGATTGTCCAACAATCTTAAGACAGATTCCTTTTTGGTATCTTCATTGTATTTAATTTTCTGTGTTTTCAAATTAATATTCTGATTAGAAAAACAAATAGTGATTTATGCTATTTGACAGATAGTAGTAATATAATGTCTCTTTTCTTTGACAACTAGTAGTAATATACTGGTGTCATTAACAATTGCAGAATATTATTTGGTGTTACAAAAAATTATTTTGGTATTTTATTTTTCTAGTTTTAGTAACAAGGAAAATAAAATTATATTATTTTCTAATTTTAGTAACAAAGAAAATAAAATTATTTTGTGTTTTAATTTATTCTCTGATTATGGTAACTAGAAAATTATTTTGTGTTTGTTCTGATTTTTGTAATCAGATAGTTTTGTGGTATTTTATTTTCTAGTTTCAGTAACATGGAAAATAAAATTACAATATTTTCTAGTTTTAATAATAAGAAAAGTAAAATGATTTTGTGTCATAATTTATTTTCTGGTTTAAGTAACTAGAAAATTAATTTGTGGTTTGGATTTCTGATTTTTGTAATCAGATATTATTTCGGTATTTTATTTTACTAGTTTTAGTAACAAGGAAAATAAAATTATTTTGTATTGTAATTTATTTTCTGGTTTTAGTAACTAGAAAATTAATTTTGTTAATCAATCATGTAACTTTGTGACTCGGTCACAATCTGTTAATTTTGTAAGTAACTTATGGTTTCGTTTGGTAGACCACTTATTTTTGAACCCTTTGTGAAAATGTGTTAATTATTTTGACTTTATCATAGTTCATCGTGAGTATACATGGAAGAATTTGTTTGTTTTAGTAACTAGAAAATTAATTTTGTTAATCAATCATGTAACTTTGTGACTCAGTCACAATCTGTTAATTTTGTAAGTACCTTAGTTTTACAAACTAATTTTATTTTTATTACAATGTGGATTCATAGTCTTGAATTGTTTCTACACATGAGTCGGAAAAAATATATATATATATATATATTCACAAGAACATTCTAATGCATATTTAATTTGTTTATTTATGTACAAATCAAACTTATTAAATGTAGGTATGTTTTGTCATTTTGAAATTTAAAGTTTAAATGCGTTGGATTTTATTTATGAGTTGAGAATCCCTTTATTTCATAATTTCAAGTGATTTGGAATGATAAATTGTTATGTCGACTTTGGACATAAGCGAGTTAATTTGAATATTTCTAATCAATTTTGAATGGGTGTTTAAACACCAGAGAAATTTAAACATGAAGATATATGTAATTATATCGTTCCGTTTAATTGGGAAGTAATTTAAGAAATCTTTTATATTGATTATTGAATTATGTGACATGAGATGTCATTAATAATTATTTTACTTGCGTAGTAGAATTTGTTAAACCATGAACCATTTTATTAATATGGGGGTGTATCTCTTGCATTAGTTAAGACAATTTAATTTTCTTCTGTCACAAATATTTTTATGACAGTGACATTTATTTGTTATTGAGTTGCAAGAATGCATACAATCAAATAGGTTTTTGAATTGTTTGATTCTTAGGCAAAATTTTTTATGAGGATATGATTTTGTCAAAACATTAATTCTGACTTGAGTAGTCATAATTATTTTGGTTTTTTCTTGAATTTGTTTTAAAATTCATTGATTTATATTAGAAGTGATAGGGGTGGTGAATATGATGCACCATTAAATGTATTTTGTGCACAACATAGCATTATTTACCAAACTACAGCACCCATGTTACTAAGTTCAGGCTTACCACAGAACTTGTGGGGAGAAGCAATTTTTGTCTGCTACTTATGTTCTTAATAGAATACCCCACAAGAAAACCAACAGCACTCCTTATGAATTATGGAAAAGTCGACCACCTTCCTACAAATACTTAAAAGTGTGGGGCTGTTTGGCAAAAGTTGAAGTTCCTGTTCTTAAAAAGACTAAGATTGAACCAAAAATAGTAGACTGTGTGTTTATTAGTTATGCTCAGAATAGTAGTGCATATCGGTTTCTAACTTATAAATCAGAAATACCTGATATAAATGTGAACACTATTATAGAGTCAAGGAATGCTGTGGTTTTTGAACATGTCTTTCCTTACAAGAAAGGACAGGAATTAAGTTCACGGAAAAGAACTTATGATTGTACACAAAGTCAAGAGACTAATGACAATCAAACACAAGAGACTAGTAATAGTCTCGACTAACAGGATTTAACTGATGATGAACCAAGATGAAGTAAGAGAGCGAGAATTTCAAAATCCTTTGGTCCAGATTTTCTGACATACCTGTTAGAAAATGAACCTCAAAGCTTCAAGGCAGCAATGACAGGTCCTGAAGTACCTTTGTGAAAAGAGGCTGTTAA